CTAAAAACAAACTAAAAACTACTTCCAAAAACATTCAGCTTTGATATTAATGAGTTTTTTGGGTTCATTGAGAACATGGTTGTTGTTCAATAATAAAAATATTCCTCAAAAATACAACTTGCCTAATAATTCTGCACTCCCTGTGTGTTTGCTTAAGGTGACAGTTTAGGTCTTCTTCCAGAGCCTGACAGTGTGGTGACAAAGATGAATAACATTTCATTAAGCTTCTGCAATGGCCCTCCAAAAGCTCTGACCTCAATCCTACTGAGAATTTGTAGACTGTGCTTAAAAGCCAGGCATGAAACCGACCAATTTTGCTAATAAAAGTGGTCAAATATCCACCCTGAATTCTGCCGTAATGCATCCTGGTAGCTACCAAAAGTGTCTGGTCAAGTTTTTAAGAAATATTTAACCAAATATTAATGAGGGTACATGTAAACTTTATGCCTGTATATATACTTTTGATTCTGTGAGGATTAGAGGAAATTAAGCTTGAGCATCTTTGTAAAGATTCATGGTGCAGAGTCATTTCACTCATGAAAAAGAACAGTTCACAGAATTCATTCCCAAATTACCATCATTCATGCTGATCATGCATGTATGTAACCTTTTGACCACAGCTGTAGGCATGTAGATATGATAAAGAGAGTCTGCTGAATTTCAAAGCGACATGAAATATTATTTAAGCGTCTCTGAACATAGCGTCATAGTGTCAGACAGGAAGTTGGGAATAATTTTCAAATTGCTGGTGTACTGGGATTTTCGTCACGCAGCCATCTAGGCTTCATAGAGAATAAAAAGTGAATCTAGAAGAAAAAAATCCAGTTAGCAGCAGTTCTTCAGGTGAAGATTCTTTGTTGATATTGAGGTCAAAGGAGAATGGCCACACTCCTCAATAACTCAAATTATAGCCAAGGTATGCAGAATAGCATCTCTGAATGCAACATGTTGAACATTATACAAGATGGGCTACAGCAGCAGAAGACCATTCTTTGTCAGCTATAAACAGGAATCTGAGGCTACAGCTTGCATGGGCTTACCACAATTGGACAAAAGAAGAGTGGAAAGCTCTTGCCTGGTGTAATAACAGTTCATTTCCACTGAGTCATCTGGATGATAAGATCCAAATTTGACATAACCAACATGGATACTTTAGATCAATGGTTCAGGCTGCTGGTGGTGTAATGATGTGGGTAATACTGGTTATTTGAATATTTCAACTACTGTAACAAATAAACAGTAATATAACCTTATTTTACCTTTCACATTCTTTTTCTCAGTACAGATGTGAAAGACATCAAAGGTAAAAATGTTCTGCACAATGAAATACATTTTGCTTTTCACAATGTCACCACATTTTGTTTTAAGTAATGTAGCTGTTTCAAAAAATATATATGAAATTATGATTTCAATACAACCTTTAGAGTTGGCTTGTGCTGACTTCTACAGATAACCCATCCAAATACCAAACGGCTAATCAAGTTCAGCCTACCTGTTTTTAAATGTGTAAAAGAGTTCAGGATATTAGAGACTGTACATACTTACTTGTGTCCACTTTAGATCCTTCACCAAACAGTATCACTCCACATGTGACGACAGCACAGTAGTAAGTCCCAGTATCAGAGAGGTTCTGTATGGTTTTGGACAGATGGTAGATGCAGCGTCTCTCTGTATCATCCATGTTGTTACTATGAGTGAAATTTCTATAAATGATACTTGGATGGTTTTCTCCTGATCCACTTTTGAACCAGTGCACACTGCGGTCACTGGGACACTGAGCACTGCTTTCTTTGTTCTTGGTGAGAAATGAACACTGGAGGGTGACCGTGTTTCCCAGTTGGACCGATGATGACTTTGGAGTTTGTGTCACATAAACAGATGTCTGGTGATTATAATCTGTGTGATGTATTAAAAGTAGAGTTTGTACAGAAATGACTGAGCTCAGTTATTTGCAAGATGGAAAAGATTTGTAATTATTGACAGAAAAAAAACAACACCAATACACACCAATCATAATGTAGCATATTTTACCATTTACAGCCAAGAAGAATCCTCTAACGAAATGTTGTAAAAACTCGGATCCAGTTTGACAAAAGTATGTTGCTTCATCCTCTTTGTTTATGTGATTGATAGTAAGAACACACTGATCATTTGATTTATGGACATGGAAACGTGTATGATTAAATGGACTGATGAGCTCTATCTTCTTATAAACTACTGTAGCTACTGTTTGAACCATTTTCCCAAGAGACTGCTTATACCAGTGGAAGAATCTGTCTGCCTTCTCAGAGAACGGACAGTGAAAAGTGGCATTTCCACCAAGTTCAAGTGTAGTCAAAGAGATCAGATGAGGAACCTCTGCAGTATGAAGAAAGGCTAAAGAAAAGAAACAGTAATTGTCATAACACAACAGGAGAAAATCACTGTAACATATACATATTTGCATCTCTATACAGTGTTTTAGAGGTCATCTAATGTCATCATAATGGTGCAACAATAGTATGTCACAGTACTATACGTATATCTGAGTAGTTGTCATAGTAAGTATATAGGTACGTAAGATGCACTTACATGTTGTACTAAGAAGAATCAAAGCAGACAGTCCTCCGATCATTGTGGTACAGCAGACCTGTCTCACAGTACCACAGTACTGTACTCTTTCCACCAAATGGAAGATTTAGTCAGAAGGTGTTTAAGGTTTGCAAAGCACAAATCAAAGTGATTGGCTGAAATGCAAATTACCCCCACCCCCCCACCCCCACCCCATATCGCGACCTCCCATTTAGCAAACACAAATAATTTCCAGTGCAGCGAACATTTGTATATTTTTATTCTACAAGCAGCCACCACGTGGTAACATTAACAATTTGCATCGTATCATCCTTTTATTTAACTAGATGCCAAATAAATCAGTGCACATAAATAAATAAAACCAATAGCTGGTGTTTTGCCCCTCCAGTGTTCTTACCAACTCCTTCCTGTACCTCACTCATGTGGCTCTTAATCTTAGAGGTCATGATGCAGGACAGGAGCTTACATGTGGTTGGTACTGAGGCAGATTATCGACCAGTAGACCAATAATTATTGACCGGTCTTGCCTTCAGTTTGCTATTCCATTGGTGTTTTGTCTCTTAGCAGCTGGTTCATTTGTGCCTCTAGATGCTCATGGAGTGCATTTAACTTCTTTAACCAGTAGATGTGAATCATGTCAGGGCCTCTTCATGCTTTATACTCTGTCTAGGATGTTTGCCACTGTGATACTGTATCCTTTTTGGGGAGGTTGCTGGGGCTCGGCTAGCCACTGAGCATTGTTGTTATAGGTTACATCTTTCTCCGATATGCTCTTCCGGTATTGCACCGTCTCCAGCCTTGGTGGGGCTGTTCTCATATTGTTCTCCTGCCAGTACACCTTGGATACCTTTCTGGAGCTCTGATAGTTTTCTAACTTCCCTCCATACTGCGTTGGTCTTGGCCTCTATATTGGGCATTTTAAATAAATAATATAAAAGATTATAACTTTGAAAAGTAAAAGTAGAACAGTCAAAGTTTATCATCTCATCCACATCTGCCTCCTCAAACCTGCAACTGCTTATCCAGCATCCACAATGCTCCGCCCTCAGTCTGGTGAGCTATCACGTTCAGGCCTGAAACCGGTTTTACTGCCGTGTTCTAGATTTCACCCTTTATTTTCTCTGATTAGTTCTCCACAGTCTGGACTCTCTGCTCAGTTCAGACAGTTGCATCATCAGTCTGGCAGTAATCATCTTTTATACAACCAACCCCTTGTATATTTATTTATCAATCACATAGCCAACTCGGGCTTAGTTTTAGAGCAGTTTTCATGTCAAAATATGTGTAAACAACTGGATTAATAAACTACTCAGTGTGCCGCAGTAGTGGTATTACAATATTTTTTTTAATTCTGTAATTTTAAAATATAAGTGGTCATGGGTTTTGCTTTGTTTTTTTCATTTGATCCAACTCAACTTTAAATGTAGTGTTTGATGAATGAGCCAATTTTGGGGAAAGTCATGACAAATGAGAGACTAAACAGAGTTACAGGATTTTTTAAAAAGCATTGTTCTCCATTGCTTGAGTGAAATTCTGTGAAAGTCCAAGTCTGTTTCCCTCACTTATTGCTTATGTTCTCAGGGTGTGTGTGTCTTTGCATCTGTGTGTGTGTGTGTGTTAGAGAGCAGTTCATGAGGTCATTCACCCTAACCCGCTAAGCAAGTCTCACTTGGCAGCCTTAATAACCTATGGCTGACCACATAGCTTTAACCATGTAGTTCTAGTGCATTGTATTCTCACAGATCGAGCGATTGTGGAAATCTACAAAAAAGCAGATTTTTTTAAATTTTACAACACCGTCTTTCATGTTTGAAATATCTAAACATGGAAATAAATACCAAAAATGAAATAAAATATGTATGAATAGAATAGATGATATTTCGATTCATAAAATGAAAGGTGTGCACTGTCGATTCTTCATTTTTGAGTCTTCAGAGAGAGAGAGAGAGAGACCAACTGAAAAGAGTCGGTGGTTTTGACAGTGAGTTGAGTATCTATAGCTCTTACCACAACCTACAAAGTCCTATATATGGAAACATAAGTAAGAGAAGCACACTAGGACCTTTACTCTTACTTACTTTTAGTAGATAAGTATGCATTTTTATATCATACACATGCTTTGATTAAGCAAAATTATTATGGAACAAACTGGGTGAACTAACAGCACATTTTGAATTGTAAAACCACATGGAACATCTACACTAACAGACCGGCTGTGGTGAGCCATCTATCTACTCTTTGGCCAACCACTAAAGTTGTTTACTCAGAACTAACTTTAACTCTACAGGCTTCAACAGGATATGCTGTAAGTGTAAATGTGCATGAAGGGAGGAGTTTAAAAAAAAGCCGCAATGAGCTACTTTTGTATCAGACAAACTGGTTGGTCTATAAATCCTAGTATAGTTTTTAACAGTAATGTAATTTTTTTAAAATAACATTATTATTAATTGGTGCAATAATTAGCCTGTTACAATAAAATGTTAAAAGGTTGTCAGTCTATAAGTTGTAACATTAAACAAGTGAGAAACACATACTTTAAAGTACACTGACAGTTTAGCTTGTGCATTAGGAGTTTCAAATTGACTTGCTTTTATCTGTGGGAGGAGTTGCAAGCTCACAGACAACACAGGAAATTTCCACAAAATCACTCAGCATAACCCTCATGCTACTAATATACTTAACCATAGATAAATACTTTAAATACCTATCAAAGAAAAACAATACCTACAGATAGATAGATAGATAGATAGATA